ACTGCCACTGCAACTGCCACTGCTACTGCTGCTGCTGCTGCTACGGCTACTGCTCCCGTTGCTGCTGCTACTTCTCTTCGTACTCTTACTACTACCGCTACTGCCACAGCTACGGCTACCAATGCTATTCCTCTTCTGTTTCCAAGTTGGTTTTGCACGATTTCTCGACTACTACCGGTGCTAGTCGTTACTACAACTGCGGCCATGCTGATGAAGCTGAAGATGAGAATCACGCGCTTCGTTTTATCAACATCTTCAAAGCGATATTTGTCATTGTGCTTGACATCATGGCTAAGACATCGTAACAACTGTTTATTGATATTGCTTCTGCAATTGTTGGGAACTCGTCGTAGGGTTGCTTGATGCTACGGAAGGTTCAGAGTTTCAGGATATCAGGAGTTCATGCGTCCGAAGTTATTCGCAGGGCAAGCTGCTCGAAGGTCAAGCTATTCGAAGGGCGTGCGGGAGGCTACGTCGAATCCGTAATCGCGTGACCCACAGTCTGCAACCACCGAAGCCCGGAACTCTAGATCACAATCTAAGCCCAAGACCTGCCATTTTCCAGACCTTACACCCCGAAGCAGCCACCTGATCCCTTGTTTGCTCTGCCTAGGCAGAGTTCAGGGCGTTTCGGGATCTTCGGATTTATTGTAGGTCTTGGTCGCTTGGCGGTCATGATGGCGGCCGAGGGCTATAAGGTCGAGGCCAACGAGACTCGGCCGGGACAGGGGGCCGACAGAGCACCACCAACAACAACAGCGACCTCAGCAAAAGCACCGCCACCGGCACCACCGACCACCGCAACCGACAAGCACGCAACAGCAACGGCAAGAGCAGCAGCAACAGTGCCAGTGACAGCGAGAGCAACAGCAGCCAGGGCAACAACCGCAACAACAGCAGCAGCAACAGACTATGTTCATACGGATTGTATCACTGCGGCATAAGTTCTGGGTTGAGTCTGTGGTATTCGTTCTTTGCTGCAAGTCTGGGTCGAGCACGAGACCAGTGACTAGTGCTGTAACGGCTGGGCCAGGTTGCTGCGACTGCCTGCCTTCTTGTAGCAAGTTGCGTTCTGCGTCTACTTCGGTGCTTTTGCATATCTGCCAGCAACTGCAGTACAAGCAAACGTGGGACGCGCACCCAAAGTTCTAAGTAGCAAAATTAAAGCCTCATTATGAGTTTTGAACATTGGGCGCATGGGGCCTACATTCTCACGAAGGGGCAAGACAAGTGTAGGTGAAGGTGACAGGTGCTTCAAAGGTCCTATGCCTCGAACCTGAAACTCCCACTTGTTGGATCCCTCGGCCCTTGCCGTAAACCTTACATGCATCCAAGCTTTTGTTGCCTAAACCCGAAAACTCCAAGCCTCTGCATTCTCAAGCTCTTGGAGCCAGACTCAGAGACTTTTGAGTGTGTTTTTCCTGAGGATGCCTCGCGCTTGTTCCTGACATTTGCTGACTTCTTTTTGAATAGAGCATCCTGGCTGCAGCGTTTATCTCTCAGGCATTTGAAGGGTCTAGTGTGCAGTGGTCAGTGTTGGGGGTTTGTGACGTCGTGTACAGGTCGGACCCGTGCTTTCCCTCTGTCTGTGTATACAGCTGAGTGTAATATTTTGAGAGGGTGTATATATCAGCTGGAATGAAATCAGGTCATGTAACTCACGATCCGAGTGTCTTCATGCGACATAGTACGAGACCGTGGGTAAGGCATCAGAGTGCACCGCAGCGCAAACGAGATATACCTCTATTTAGGCCTCAGTAGTGCAGTTTGCTGCAAAATAATGCGCGGTTATTCCTAGGTTTGTCTTGTGTGCTGGGGCTGCGTGCAAGTACACTTGCATGTGCTACTATAGAGACGCATATTTTGCACAGCTATGTGCACAATCATCCACACATGCGTGAGCACATGAACATGTACCTATACATTTCGCATACCGGCATGCATGCAGGGAGCACAGGGCCCATGGGATGTAGTGCGCAGGACTATGTGCAAGACAGAGCACTCTCCGTTGCCAGGTTTTGCATGTGCATGGTGTGGAATCTGAAAGCTCTGTCGTGCTTCAGCCCAGGTGCCTTCATCGGGACACCAGCTGTTCCCACTGGCGCATGTGTTCTCGGAGAATCACGGCCACTAGCCTGCGACAGGAATCTCAAGCCCTTAGCACTCAGTAACCCTAAACCCTACCCCCTAAGCCCTTGTAGCAGGTTCGTGGTTTGAGCCACCAACTACAGAAACGCAGAACTCGACTCAACCCTCCCAAAGACGAAGGCCCTGAAGCACTGCAGCTCTGGGGCCCTGTTAAACTTGACCCCGAAAGCATGAACCGAAGTGGCTTGC